TGTACTTGTGCCATACACAGGTGTGTGCAATTACAAAAATTAGTTACTAGCCCGTCGGGCTAGTGGCAGTAACAAAGTTACTAGCCCGAGGTTGCCAGTCACTAGCCCATTAACTACAGAAAACAATACATGTATAAGTATAACAAAAAGGTAAAAAAAACAACTAAACATTTAAGTTGAAATAAATAACACAAATAATGGTTTGCGCTGTGTTATTGTCAGGTACTTCTCCCTATTTTTATCGACTATAATTGTCACTGAAACGAATGGCGATAGCAACACGTACACAATACATATAGGTTTGTTTGTTTGTTGTTTAACGTCCTTCTCGAGAATTTTTCACTCAAATGGAGACGCCACCACTTGCCGGTGGAGAGCTGCAAATTTTGTCCTATACTCGGCACTTATGGCCAATGAGCAGTGAGGGATCTTTTTCGTCCCAGCACCTACTGCGACACGGGACCTCGGTTTATGCGGTCTCATCCGAAGGACCGGTCTCCACGTCCCACAGTGGGATTCGAACCCGCGACGTAAGGATCAACTCCTTACGCCGAATTCAGTCGAGGTAATTAAATAATGTATACTTTCGTTTTAGTTTTACTAGCCCGACGGGCTAACGCAGTATAGATTTATGATAGCCTGACCTCTAAAATTGGTAGCCCCGGGCGTCGGTAATTGCACACCCCTCATACAGAATAAAGAGGGAATGGGAAAGAGTGATCCCGTATTTTTTTAATACATGTCATTGTTATTTATCTAGTCTAATTTTAGACCCATTCTTACAATAATAGCTCCACCTCTCACGCATACCTAATGTTTAATCAAGGGCAGGTAAGTGTAACTATGTACTAAGTTACTTTATTTAGTACCCAGGAGCAGAGAAGATTTTCAAAGAATTATTGCATTTTCACTGTATAATCAATAGAGCCCCGCCCTAACACCAGAAACCCTGACCCTGGAGCCATGAAATTCAAAATTTTGGAAAAGGCACTCATGCTCATCATAACTATGTACTTAGTTACTTTATTTAATACTCAGGAGCAGAGAAGAAGATATTCAAAGAAATAATGCACTTTCACTATATGATCTATATATCCCCGCCCTAGCACCAGAACCCCTGACCTGGGGCCATGAATTTCAGAATTTTGGTAGAGGGCTCAATGCTTATTACAATCATGCCAACAGTTTGACTGCTTGATGTCCAGGAGTAAAAAAGAAGAGTTTTAAAGATTGCATTATTTGGGGGGTGGGTGGGTTTAGCCCCACCCCTCAGGCTTCAGGGGGGCAGGGACCATGAAATTCACAATTTTTGTTCCCCTTTACCCATAGATGCTATATCCCAAATTTGGTTGAAATTTGTTAAGTGGTTTCAGAGAAGAAGCCAAAAATGTTCAAATGTTAACGCACGACGCACGCCGACGGATGAAATCGGATAGCAATAGGTCACCTGAGTGACTCAGGTGCCCTAAAAAAAACTAGTCTTTATTTCATCGTGAGGAATGATTCTGTAGTGTTAAAAAGTGATATGATTTGATGTTAATTATGGGGGGGGGGATTATGTGATTATAAATTTTCTGGAAGTGCTTTAGAGTTTTTGAGAATCAGCATATATTTCATTCAAGTTTTTTATTTATCTTGTATCACAGTATTCCTGCAGTTTATATTTCTTTTATCCCAATTAATAAACTAATAAAAAGATGTTGAATATGAAAATATTTTAAATTCTTCTAATGAATTTTATTTAGATTTTTTAAATAGTCGATAACAAATAAAGCGATTTATTTTTTGATAGTACTTTAAATAAAAAAATTAAAATGGAACCAAACACCACCGTCTGCACATGAAAATCACAGAAATATTACATAACTTTGTCACTAAATAGCAAAATACTATATGATTATCAATTTTAATTAAAATATAGCCATTTGAAGATAAAAGCCTGATGTATAGCATGTTAACTACAATAAATATACCTGTAATTTTTATTATGCCCCCGGATAGAAAGATCCCGGGGGTATATTGTTTTTGTCCTATCTGTCTGTTTGTCTGTTGTCACCTTTAACTTTAACTATTGCGCTGTCAAGGGTAAGGCTTTAATATTTAACATGAGTGTTCATTATGACAAGACCTTTCCATTGGTACAGAAATTTTTGATCATGTGACCTCAACTGTGACGTTTGACCTACCCGGAATTGTGTTACCATCGGGGGCATAGTGTTTCACAAACACATCTTGTTACAATATTTCAATTAATCAAAATTCAATTTTAACTAACATACACAATTGAAGTCTATATTAAAATTCAGATTGTGGATTCAGTAACTCGATACAGAAAATATTAAATTTCATAGTCAGTAGAACATTCATATCTGTAGCTGAATTATGGGAATCTGATGCAAATTTTCATGAACACAGACATTTTATATATAACCAATTCAGGTTCATTGCCGAATATTACTCGGTGAAAAAAGTTCAAGTACTTTTTAGCCATCTGTACCAAATACACATGTATCAGATTAATGTTTGTTTCGTATAACTTATTTAACAGAAAATCCATTTATTGTTTAGGTCAAAGGAGCCAGATTTTTTAAAGAAAAAAATTAATTGAAACATTTTAATACAGAGTCTCCTTTGAACGGGAAGGAACAAGGTGGAGAACTATATTTTCTTAAGATTTCAATATCATCGTTTCAAAAATCGCTTTCATTGATATCATATGAAAATTTTACTTTATTTTAAAGTGTAAATAATCATATACCTTAGATAGATCATGTTTGAAATGATTTGTTAGGTACTATTCTTTCACAAACTCAGGTAAAATTTTTTCCCTTTACGAAAATAATTATATCGAGTTCTATCGGTCCAATCGTTTTGTTTATGAAAGAGTATTCTTGAATATAACCGGGTAAATTATCTCAGATGAGGAATTCATTGTACGTTATATATATAAAACATATTATAACATACTGCATAATATGTCAAGGTGTTTAGCTTTATCAGGAGGGAAAAAACCTTGTGTGTAATGAATCAAAACGATACTTTAGCCTTACAAACAAAGACACATTGCAGGGTCCAGTTAATGTTCTCCCGAGCCCCTCTTTACTCCTCACAAGAATATTACATGTAATTGATGTGGAGAAACTTCAAGTATCTGTCCTACAATATATTCAGGAGTGTTGTAAATCAAATGTGGATTTTCAAAAACTCCATTGAAATTTGACAAAATTTGAAATCATTTTCTCCCCAAAATCAGTTTTAAAACATATGACTTTTCAACGCTTTATGCATCCATTCCTCTTAGTAAATTCAATCCTAGGCTTTTTGGCATTATAAACGACTCGTACATCTGCTTTCTGAATAAAAATGGAACTCAAGAAATATTCATACTGTGTGATTAGTCATCTAGAAAATTTCTTTAAAAACACTCATCTGATTTTACAAAAAAGTACCCTGCAGGTGATAATAAAGAGATGCTGGAGTTCCTCAATTACGTGTGTAGTGTTGGAGACAAGGTTTTCCAACATAATATTAGCCGACCTGTTTTTGTATTCATGCGCAAAATTCATGATTTACATGAGAAGCTAAAGCATTCAATATTTAGAAATATCGACAGCGTTTTAACAGTTTTTACAATATTCAGTTATATTTCATGTTTAATCCTAATGAACTAAAATTTAAGACATTACAGATTCTGGCCATCTATTTTATATTTTTATTTTTACTGAATATAGACGTTTTTGCAAACTAATGATTGAACTTTATTAAGAAATTGGATGATTTCATCTTTTCGTCATCTTCCCATATCAACAACTGTATGTAGCAGTATTCCATTATTACCTGTATATAGCGTTTATGCCTCCCACTGTTCTATATACGATCAATTTTTATACCGAAGCAGACTACTGACATAAGTTGAGGGGTTCCAACAGTCTCTTAAAAAGTTAGAAAATTTCAATATGGTCGTTATAATAATCTTATTGCAAGTACAGCCTACCACTGGATCAAATTTTTACTGACATGTTTCATACCAATTGTTAAGTAATTGTTTTTAATACTTATTTTGACTATCGATTGTCATTTACCTGCTAAAACCGAGGTCTTACGGCTGAGGTGAATAGATGATAATTCCTTTTTGGCACCTGATCGTACCTATGACGTTTCCAGGTGCTTGTGGTTTTATTTTTTAATGCTCTGGTCGATTTTGCATTGTTAATATGTTTTATGAGATTGATCATTGCTCATTATCTTCACCATTTTCAGGAATACATTTTAGTATCAGTAGGGTTAAAAACAGGTTTCATTTAATTCAAAAGCATGGTCGTCTACCCAGTTCCACCTGTTTGTCGGTAGAGTGACATCTGGTCATCAAGCGTATTTCGTGAGAGACAATTTTTACAATGTAGCTAGTAAATTGAACTAAAAATATTTTGTTTAAAATAGATTTATTCATTTAATTTTTATACCAAGCATAAAAAAATTAAAAAAAAAAAAGAAAAGAAAATATGATGGGATTTTGCAGTTCCGTGAAAGCAAATTAAAACATGCAACATCATATCATTTACATAATTTTCCTTTACAAAGAATTTCATTCTGGCAGTGTTAGCATAACGTATAGTAGTGCAAGAAATGAAAAAAACACCCTCTCTCTTTCTCTCCCTCTCTCTATATTGCTGTTATCAGTTTAGGCATGTACACTGGACTTCTGATTCCGTCTTCTTCCAATTATTATTAAAATGTAATATCCAGGGGGAAAAATCATTTACACAATTTTCCAGTCGATTATGGGTTCACATTGACTTGTGCCCTCACTAATAATTGCATATTCAAAACATTGATTTATTTTCGGCATCACATAAAAATGGAAAAGAAACTATTGAACGCGGCTTTCAACCAATCATTTATCCTATGATTACTACAATTAGTAAAATTTCTTTATTGCATCGTATATGAAATTTCTCTAAAATTAAAAGTTTGTGGTGAAAATCACGTTAGATATATATTCAATGTGTCCCTGAACTCTCAATAGAGTTCTCCAGGGAATGTGACTCCGAAGAAGAGGAGGCTCTGTCGCATGTTCTAAGTAGTCCTTCCAGCATGTTTGTCGTCTGTGTAAGGGGCGACAAAACAGGCGACGAGTAGTCTTCCCCTGACTGAACAGTTGAAGAAACAGAGGACACAGGGGAACATGACTGTGTCTCGTATTGAAATAAGGACACATTATCCGAGTCAAATAAATCTAGCAAGAGACTGCATTGGTTGGAATTTAATTCGGACGTTGATGAAAAATGATACTTTGAAAACCCTTCTTGTTCACTTGATAATATTTCTGTTTGAAAGGGAATCGTAAAATGCATTTCATTTTGTTCCATGTCTCCAGTGAATTCAGGAGGCTGATTTTTAGCATTGCTGTTCTCTCGATTTACGAGATAATCTTCACATTTAAGGCTTGAGTGCCTCCTTGAGGATTTCATTTCCAGCGCCAATACTCTGCTAGACGGTTCAGTGGAGATCTTGCTTTTATTGTTATTGATTGACAATTTTTTTCTGATAGAATTTTTCGAAATGTTTTCTAGAGGAGGTGCTGTCTTTTTATTATCGCTTTTACTGCCCAATTCCGTGAGTTGATCAAGTGATAAACGTGTTAATTTTTCTGGGGTCCTATATGGCTGTTGCAAGGTGTTTTTCATCATTCCTTCCACCATCGCATCAAATTCCGGATGATTTCTTTTGGCTCTTTTCTTTGTGGTCTCTTGAAAATCTTTTTCTTCGTTTAATTCTAAAAGTTTCATTCCCAATTCTAGTTTCTAAAATGGATAGGTAAAATTGTTTTAAAACTGTTTCAAAATATACTGAAAAATATGAATTTGTCATTCAATACCAGTGAATTTGTCAATCAAAACCAGTGGTCGCCCGCGTGGCGCAGTGGGTTAGAGCGTCTGCTCGAGAGTCGCAAAGTAAGGAGCTGATCCTTACGTCGCGGGTTCGAATCCACTGCGGGTCGTGGAAACCGGTCCTTCGGATGAGACCGTATTAACCGAGATCCCGTGTCGCAGTAGGTGTTGGCACGAAAGAGCTCCCTCACTGCTTAATGACCCTGAGTGCCGATTAAAGGTATAAATTTGCAGCCCTCTACCGGCAAGTGGTGGCGTCTCCATACGAGTGAAAAATTCTCGAAAGGGACGTTGAATAACATTCAAACAAACAAAGAAACAAAACCAGTGTCTTTTGCCTATGATCAGTATCAATCCTAAAACTGCAGAAGTATTATAACTAATATTCTCTCCATTTTGAAAAACATACAGAAGAGCGCGATTTCTTGCGCATTGATATCTGAATACCATATGGATATATCGAAATGAGTTTGAAGTCCCAATAAAAATTTTAAGCGTTTTGATCTCAATATCACAAATCCTCGGATACCTTAAACTTTTTTCTCTCGGCCACATTGAGTTCAATTAGTCTATACCTACGTTAATGTCTTAGGTTTGACGCGGCATAGGGAACGAGAATCGAACTCAGTACCTCCCGATCACGAAGAGAGTGCCCTACCACTAGGCTACTGCGACCGGTTAAAGAGTTCGAAATAATGAGGATGACTGTAGTTGTACCTTCATTTTGCCACAAAGTAGATATTAAGCTCTGGTTTATTATAATATATTGATGATGCATAGATCATTTACAATTTTCAGTCCTGCATTTCTAACAGAATTATGAAAATACTCAAACAATACATATGATTTTTCGAGCTGAAGTTTAGAATGTCATTGTATGACGTTGAATAGTTGACCCTTTACAACTTTTCTGGAACATTTGGCATTGCACTTAGAAATATATTTAAAAGGTTGAATTGATACCATTCATGTCTGAGAATACTTACAAATAGTTTTAACATCATTTTGTGGTACTTTGTCTCCATTGCCTTACGTTTGGATTCAAATAAAATGAGTCTAGATGTGTCTTTCTTCAATTCCCTTATATAATCAACTGATGCTTTCAGAATTGATCCTTTATGCACTTTCATTGCTCTGAAAATAAGAACAATTTTAAAGGAGAGAGCTTCAAAACATAAGAGCATAAACAATGGGCAACGCAGGAAGGAGGGATTCATCGAAAAAAAAACCAAATTTTCCCTAATCTCTGAAAATTTTCAAATTTAAAACAAATTTACAACTGAGAAGGAAGTTATCTCTAAAAATAAACTAGAAAAATGGAAAACTTTAATTTTTAATTTTAAAGTGTTGAATTTTAATTATTTTAAATAATATAATGTATGAAGTTGTGAGTCTGTACTCAAATCCGTATTTTTCTCTCATAATTATTTCTGTTACAGATATGTGGATCTGCAATTTTTTGTTTGTCATGGTAATATGTGCAGTAGAAAAATTCTCCATTCTGCTCTTTAAGATAAAAAATGATTCAATACTTGCAGACTTTTTGTCCCCCACTTTCACTGAAAGTGGGGGATATTAATTTGGGTCTGTCGGTCCGTCCGTCCGTCTGTCTGTCTGTAACACGCTCGTTTCCGCGCGATATCTCGAGAACCCTTTGAGCTTTCGCAATGAAATATTGCATAGCAACTCCCTATGGCCTAAAAAAGAGGTCAGAACCCCCCCCCCCCCGAACTGCACATGCTCTTCTTTTTTCCCTAAGCGGGGGACACAAATTCTCTGAATTAGCTTGTTATTGTTACGCTAGTTTTTTTCCGTGATTGCGTCCACGTAAATATTTGCAAAGATGCAGTAACCAATGCTTACATCAAATAACAAGATGTGTTTGTGAAACACTGATGCCCCCGTATGGCAGCTTATGGCGAAGGGTAAAGTTTCTTCAAATGCAAGTCAAAATCCAGGCCAAAAGATAAAAAATGTTAATACCCAAAGAAAGGTCCTGTCTCGAGGAATACACCTGTGAAATTTGAAAGACCTAGATACAACTGTTCAAAAGTAATGGCTAAGGTTAAAGTTATTTAAATAAAAGTCAAACGTCAAGGTCAAGGTCAAAGTGGTTGGTATCCAAAGGAAGATCTTGTCACAAGGATTACACCTGTGAAGTATGAAAGCCCTTGCACCAACCATTCAAAAGTTATGGCCAAGGTTAAAGTTTTTCAAAAGTAGGTCAAACTCCTAGGTCAAGGTCAAAGGGTCAAAGTGGTTGGTATCCAAAGGAAAGTCCTGTCACAAGGATTTCATATGTGAAGTATGAAAGCCCTAGCATCAACCATTCAAAAGTTATGGCCAAGGTTAAAGTTTTTCAAAAGTAGGTCAAACTCCTAGGTCAAGGTCAAAAGGTCAAAGTGGTGGTTGGTATCCAAAGGAAGGTCTTGTCGCAAGGATTACATATGTGAAGTATGAAAGCCCTAGCTGCAACCATTCAAAAGTTATGACCAAGGTTAAAGTTTTTCAAAAGTAGGTCAAACTCCTAGGTCAAGGTCAAAGGGTCAAAGTGGTTGATATCCAGAGGAAGGTCTTGTCACAAGGAATACACATGTGAAGTTTGAAACCCTAAGCACTAACTGTTCAAAAGTTATGGCCAAGGTTAAAGTTTTTCAAAAGTAGGTCAAACTCCAAGGTCAAAAGGTCAAAGTTGTTGGTATCCAAAGGAAGGCCTTGTCACAAAGAATACACATGTGAAGTTTGAAACCCCAAGCACCAACTGTTCAGAAGTTATGGCCAAGGTTAAAGTCTCATAAAATTTTGCAAAAGTGGGTCAAACTCCAAGGTCAAGGTCAAAAGGTCAAATTTGATGGTACCCAAAGAAAGGTCTTGTCACAAGGAATACACATGTGAAATATGAGTCATAGCTCCAACCAATCAAAAGTTATGGGCAAGGTTAAAGTTGACGACAGACAAACGGACAAACAGTCAGACAGGACAAAAACAATATACCCCCGGGATCTTTCGATCCAGGGGCATAATAAAAATGTTCCCAAATGCACTTTTCGTAGGGTTGATTTCTATATTTCTTGCGATAAACCAGGGATTTCAAAGCCAAAAAGACTGTAAATAACAAGAGTGATTCTAGGATGAAATGAAGTTAAGATGCAGCAACTAATGCATACAATTAACACACATCTATAGATGCACCAAATATTTTTTTAGTTGATAAAATTATAGTAAGCCATAAACAGATTGAAGCACATACCCAGACAAGATAATTCAACGAAATTAGATCCAATTTGTGACTTGACCTTTGTGTCCTTTCACATCAGAATCAAATGGCGTCGTGTTTTCATAATAGTATTGAAGTGAATATATGAATCTGAAAACGATTCTATATTATTTATGAATCTGTGATCTTGACCTTTGACTGGTGGACTAGCTATAGAGACTTATGGTTTAAAATTTCGTTGCAAAAGCACCTTTACAGATATCAATCGGAGACTATGTGATCCATTTCCAAACATGTACATGGATTGTAACTTTGACCTTTGGACCTTAAAATCTAAAGGGGTCGTTCTTAAGCCATAGGGATGCATAAAACAAAATTTCATTGCAAAAGCTGAAGCACTCTCAGAAATATATAGTTCTAAACGAAAGTGTTACAGAAAGACATGCTGACGGACAGATAGATAGACGGACCTTGATACCACTTTATCCCTCTACAAAGAGATGAATTTGGAGAGATTAATCTGTAATCGAGAATAAAAATGATTCCTTTCTATTTTTTAGCTAGGATATAATTATTATTAACAAGAAATTAGAAATTAATTATATTCATTTCTCTCTGCCTTCCAGGTTAACTTAACGTGGGACATTTAAACATAATAAAGATTTTTCTGTTTAAGAATGGCAATATCTTTTCCCGAAAGAATACACGAAGAAACATTTTAAAGTATTGGCATCTTTGTATGTATGTTCTTTTCTTAACTAATTTAAAGATATAATTATCTATTCCTTGAAATCCATCTATGCAATGGAAAAATACAACCGAGAAAGAATTTATCTACAAAAACTAATTTGAAAGTGGAAAACTTAGTTCGTTTAATAAATGTTAGATTTTGTAGTTGTGAAGAGCATATAATTCAGCTACAAATGTCTGATACGACTCATTACTTTGTAAAAACTGTACTGATTAAGTTTGAAAATACTCACGGATGAACTGTTGGGGGTAAAAGTGCAGCCAATTCTTGAATTCTATCATTTATTTTGTATCTTCGCCTTCGTTCGACTGGTAATAAGAATTATAATGTGGCCATTGAGTATATAAAATTATGTAGGAGAGGAAATGCTAAGAAATGAGAAGATATGGGAATTAAATTTTGTGGCTGAAGAAGTGTTTAGATGTCACACATTTAAAATTTTACATTTTGTGGGGAACATGTAATCGTGGGTCTCTTCATACCACGCAAACTAACCCTTAGCATATATACATTGTATAAATTTAAATGAAGTTCATGTATGTAAATGTTGATTAAAAGTGCAATTGCTGGAGAATTAGTTTTTTTTATTATTACCACATATTTTTATTTCATTTCTCCATTTCTTCCAAGATTACCTAAACATGAAGCCTAGTTTTGTTTTGTTTGATTGTTTGCAGCATTTTAAAAATCATTGCATACAGAAGTTTTTTTTCATCATTTGAAGGCTATTTATACTGGTGAAAACACAGTTCTTAATAATATTTCCACCAACCGTCTGATTTGCACAAGTGTGAATAATGTATAGCTTACTTATGTTATGGTTATCTTTTCTAATTCTCTCTTTCCTCCAAAATTGTTCCTCTTTCTTTGACAGAAATGTAACGGTTTGAGGATTGTCTTTCAAAAGTGATTCGTCCGTAGCTCCGAGAGAACATTTTTGATTGGCTTTGCTCTGAAATAAAAAAAGGATAAAATTATTCCCATATTCAAAACATCTTTAAACTTGCAAGGATTTTTTTCATTCTTACTATTGCATGTACAAGAGAAAAAAGAATTTATGGGTAAACCGTAAAAAAATATGCTAGTTATATGAACACTTTTAAAGAAAAGGTCCCGATCTAATCTACTTAAAAATACATCGAAAATGACAAATTTTCTTTTAATCCACATGACACTTAGAAATTTTTGTTACTATATAACGTACTATTGTACATGCCACGGCTTGTTCAATACAATGGAGATCTTCATCATATGACGAATCAGTCTGGACTGAATTCATGACATCACCGATTAGGTGGTCCACCTCAAAAGAGCAAATTATAGAGTGAAAGATTTATGTACAGTGTCAACCCGAATAAACAACGACGGCTCCGCTTGATTCTTTTGAATATCAACGCCCCATAAACTGCTGTTTTACAACTTTAATTGGTCTGCAATATTTGTTTCTAGATTTAATAATTACGAAAAGGCGGAAAACTTAATGATGCCATGCTTTAATAATTCCATATATTTATTTTAAAGAATCACAGTAACTCACAGATCATAATAAATCGTGTTCGTTGTCCTTAACATTAAATGCAATATAATACCAGCATCATATTAAAAACTGACACAATCAGAAGTTTTATCCTAAATTCATGACTTCAATTTGTGCTTAAAAAAACCCCCAAAAAACCCCTTTTTTTCATAAAAAGTAGAGGATATTCAATAACTATCCAGAAATTGGTTTAAATATATATTACTAGTCATAATTAAAATTACAAGTATTGGGATAAAGATAAAATATATACATGTATATATGCATAATTTTCAATTTGCATGCACAGCATATTGATTTATTGGTATAAATGCACAGCATATTTCAAAACCAGATTTACCTGATCAATACTATATTCTTCGTCTTCCATATCTGTATTAGTTTGATGTAGCTCCTGAGATGTTGTTTCCTGAGGGTTGTCCTCCAAGGTTTCTTTCATTGTTGTAATCACGGATTCCACATGCTCAGATAAGTCAATATAAGGTTCACATGCTTCTTCTAAAAATGTCGGGAAATTCATTGTACATGTATCTAAGTTGCTTTTATTTTCCAATGCACCAAGGGACGTTTCCTCTTCTTTTGTTTGCTACAGAGTGAATCAAGTACATTTGCAATGATTATTAATTCTACGTACATTGTACTCTTCCTATGTGCCTCTCTGCTCAAAATGGAGAATGTTGAAATATTGATGATCTAGTAATTTGGTCGCCCGCGTGGCGCAGTGTTAGGGCGTCTGCTCTAGAGTCGCGGAGTAAGGAGTAATCCTTACGTCGCTGGTTCGAATCCCACTATGGGACGTGGAGACCGGTCCTTCAGATGAGACTGTATAAACCGAGGTCCCGTGTCGCAGTAGATGCTGGCACGAAAAAGATCCCTCACTGCTCAATGGCCCTAAGTACCGAGCATAGGTCAAAATTAGCAGCTCTCCGTCGGCAAGTGGTGGTGTCTCCATATGAGTGAAAAATTCTCGAGGGGGACATTAAACAACATACAAACAAAAACTCAGCATTTTGCTGCATAAATATAAAATGGTCTACCAATTTTTACAATTCAGTTTTGAAGTTAAAAAGCAATCGGATTGATTCGGCAAGTAATACGCAGTATTCTACGTCACTTGGTAAGTTTTTTGGTCCAAATTTGTTAGGCAAGTTTAATTACCCCTTGGTGAAACTACTTTTCTTTTCACCTTTGTGTCTGTTTGTCCTTTTATCTTTCAGTCAGTCTGTCCTACTTGGATTTCCTGATTTTTCAAGACGCTGTGAATTATTGAGCTGCTTTTTCGTTCCGCCATTTGTATTTCTGAGTTAATTCAGAATGCTTGTTTAACTTTAACATTATGTCTTATAGATTTTCTCTAAAGAAAAAGAATGGAGCAATAGACCTGACAACCACAACGAAGTATAGTTAAACGAGAGAGAAGGAGAAGCGTGCAAAGTAGCCGACAGAAATTAATGCTGCACTCTGACATAGGAAACGTGGGTCTAAAAACTTTGCGGCTGTGATTCATTTGTCTAAGAGTTCAGTTTCTCTGGAAATTGCCCCTTTAATTTATCTAAGCAGGCAACAAAATCAAATTTGAAATAACTCTACTACATATGTATAATATTTCATTATTCCATTTAATTCTCCTTTAAGACATTAACAATATTTCATTTATACAGTTAGAAGATAACTAATTTTGGTACTAAACAAACCAACATTTTGCTAAAATTAAAAATATTTAAGGTTTTAATCAGACATATTTTCGACAATTCCTTTTCTGACACCATGTGTTCGATTTCGAAATGTTCTACTAAAAAAATTTAACCTGTGATATTTTGATAACAAATATTTTGTTTTTTAGCAACATTACTGAGCAGAGTTTTTATGCTGAAAATTGGAGAAACATTGACTTATAAAACTTCAAACTTCTATGAAATTGAATGTACTCTTTGCGGACAAATTTTTATTATATAATCAAATGGTTCATTCAAAAAGAGAATGTCGGGTCACAGGTTTGAAATCGAAAAAGGTAGTGACCAACAACGTCTTTCAAAATTTCAATTTGCCTGATCATTATATTCTTTAAATGCGAGATAGAATTTTGAGAAAAAAAAATCATCCACGTCGCTGGTTCGAATCCCACTATGGGACGTGGAGACCGGTTCTTCGGATGAGACCATATAAACCGAGGCCCCGTGTCGCAGTAGATACTGGCACGAAAAAGATCCCTCACTGCTCAATGGCCCCGAGTGCTGAATATAGGTCAAAATTTTCAGCTCTCCACCGGCAAGTGGTGGCGTCTCCATATGAGTAAAAAATTCTCGAGAGGGACGTTAAACAACAAACAAACAAACAGAAACTCCTTTCTGTAGACAGCGAAAAGAAATCCGGATCAGAAAGCTAGGAAGGCATTTCCGTATGGTTGCAATGACCACATTAATAATGTATTGAATCTTTCAAGCCCACGATGTGCCGATTTGAATGTGATGGGACTTTATAACACGCCTAGGAGTAGTCATGGACAAAAATCATACAAAAGACGTAATCTATATGTTTCTTTTGATTTACTTTTACCTTACGTCAATAAACAACTGGTTCTTGATCATATGCTCACTAAACTATCCTTGAAATCTTTGAATGGACGTTTTGAAGAAGCTAAAGCAAGTCCATAATTGTATTCGTCAACAGCAGAATACAAGCTAGTGTTTGTGATTATGGACGTTGCCAAGCACAGGTTCTTTAAACCACCACATGCGCCAAAAGATAATAATTCTGATTCAACCCATCGATTCCTTATATTTAAAGCTGAACACGATTCGTAAAAGGAATTTGTCCGCTATATTCGATTATTTGCTCGCTATATCTGAGGGCCCCTATAGAAGCCGCTCACTTGGTCACTGTTCAGTGTAATCATTTGTCAACGGTCTACACTGACGCATGCAACACAGCACTCGGTAGCGAAAAAAAATAACTATGTACTTCTTCTACAGCTGGAGAGAAGGAAACCAAAGAAACTGACAACAGTTGCACAGGTCAGTGCAGTATACAAACAAACGCAAATTCACGTAACTGCAATAAAATAAATAAGCAAAGGCTATGCAAGATAACCAGCACGAACACGTGTCACCATTCCACGCCGATACCCGTGACAATAAAGCAGTCAGGTGTAACGAATGCGAAGGAGTATATCCTGGTGCTGATATCTTAGATAGTATAATCGAATATGGCGTATGCCTATTAACGAATCATGTTCAGCTTAATATGTTCAAAGAAGGGAATAGATGCTGTGAACATTAGTAACACATAAAAAAGTTCAGTCTTGCATTCCACCATACTTCAAGTTGAAGTCTACATCCAGCATTTCCAACATATATTCCTAAAGAATTGATTCCAAGCTTTTCAACTGTAAACAAACCCTACAGTGCCTTGATATTGAACATATGTAACAAAATTCTCTTAAATGTTCTTCTTTTTTCAACTGCAGTTTCAATGGACATGTCATTACCGGTGATGTTAATATAATCGAAAATGACGTTATAAGGTCCCAAATACAGGGAGCCCCGATCTTTCAATTGACGACGGAACTTCATTTCCATTATGAATTCTGTCGAAGATTATACCAGACGTTGGACTTAATATGAAGAAGACCCGAATACATGGTCAGAATGGATTAAGTGTTTTATAAATATATCAGAGAATAGTACTAGAAAGTAAAAAGGCAATAAGCGAACCATTTATCCTTTCGTTTTCACTAAAGAATTGTATGAAAATTAGAAAGATTTTATGAACAATATTTTATTGTTTCTGCAGGCAAGGCTTGGAACAATATCGTCTGTATTCATAAGGGTCATTATAATCATATTTAAGAACTTAGTTTTCATTCTACATCTGGAAACCTATCACAGTTCACTTTCTAAGGATGAAATTCTTAAAATCACATTTCATTCTTTAATACTTTAACATTTCAGTCAACCAAGGTAAGTTCAAACTACCTTACTTAAGGACACTGGCAAGGTTCCTGGTTATCGCATAGAATTTTTCAAGAACTCTTGAATAGGTTTAATTGTACTAAACAGGCTATATTCTGGGTCGCTTAACCTACCAAGCCAACCTTCTTTTTAGATTTTGTCAAATGAGTGTTTTTACAATTGTCAATGCATTTCCTATGTAATTTTTCACCATAATATATCTCAAAATCCCACATATTTTATATAGTTTTGGTATTGTATACATTATTGTATCTTTTTTTCCTATGACTTCTAGATATTTTGGCTGAAAATGTATATATAGAAACAAGACATGGACATACCGTCACCGATCTTAATTTGAGTTACTTCCCTTAACACTATAATTATATTATTCATTATGGTCAATAGACTGGTTGATTGTTTCTACATTGTGTCATGTAATTGACTGAATTGGTTGAAACACATTTCATAGAAATATTGGCATGGATTTATTTTTAATTTTTATTCGTAGTTACTAAATGCTGTTTCCTTTACTCGACCTAAGAACTGTTCTCAGTCGGTCTACCTCTCAGCATAATTATATCACATCTTTGCCTTTCCCAGCATACTGAGCATAACTATGGTAAAAAACGGCCTGTTGGCTCTTTGTCCCTGAATACATTGTACAACAAAGCCATCACTACTCTTCTTTCTTGCTGTATAGATGATTCTACCCGTAGAAAGAAGTACACTCGCTTTTGTTTACCTCTGTAACAATCGCTTTATTGGTTTTCACCGCTTAGAGAATTCTACATGGGAGATCACTGTAAATCTTGAGCTCAATCACTATTTTATAAGTAAAAAAACCCATGTATTAAACTTTTTTCTCCGGAAAACCCTGACTTGCCAATGTCCTTAAACATGATTCCTATACATGTACTTCATAAAAATCCTCACAAAGATACATTTCCGGGTCCAGCAAGTGCTCTATCAAGCCCTCTTACTTTTCACAAAAATAGTATCTGCTTCAAAGGAGAAACTTCCAGACTTACTGTACTACATCATATTCTATAAGTGGCGGAAATGAGATGTGGATTCTCAAAAACTCCAATTAACTTTTACAAAATTAAATAAATCACCAAATTTTTTCAAGAGTCAGTAACATCAAAACGTACGACTTTTCAACACTTTATACAACAATTAAAAACAAGAATTTATCAATCGATTAATTCTGTGTATCGGTTTTTGATTTCGATGAACGGTCTTGCCATGGTTACTAAAACTAGAAATTTCCTTGAAATACTGTCAAAATGACTACTTCTCCTACAGTTTTGGTCTGATTTTAGTATAACTTGACACACAAGTAGACTACACTAAGATACATAATTCTCTATACCAGTTTTGGATTTCGATGAGCGGTTTTGCCATGGTTACTAAAAATAGAAATATTTTGAAAAACTTTCAAAATGTCCTCTTCCTACATGTTTTGTCTGATTTCAGTATAACTTAGCATACAAGTAGACTACACTAAGATACATAATTGTCATTATTGCTTTTTGATTTTGTTGACTGATGTTGCCATGGTTACTTAAATCGATATTTCTGTAAAATTATTTTAAAAGACTACTCCTCCTACAGTTTTATTCTGATTGCAATG